TTCTTAAGCATGACCATATTTTACTGAATAAGCACAGTTTTGGGGTTGCAAAAAAAAGGAATATGGGGCCCTTGGTGCTCTCTGAGTTTGGCTGTTTTCTTGCAGGCGTTTCATTACCAAACTAGGTAGCATCATCAGTGTTATTGGGAGTGTTGTTTTCTTTTGGGCAATTAAACAGAGAGCAAACCCCACTGCCCTCTAGCATTGATGATGTTACCTAGTTTGGTAATGAAATGTCTGTAGGGAAACAACCAAGCCCACAGAGCACCAAGAACCACATAGCCATTATAATTTTGCTTATATCGTAAACAGACAATTTGGGGAGCTCATGATTGTGTCCTACATAGGCATACAAATTTAAGGTTTGTCTTAGCTTGCCTATCTTCACCTTCAGAAAACTGTTCAGTCAGTTCTTTAAGACTATAACCCAAAGACCTAATTGTTGTGACCCAGGCTTCCCAAAATCATGAAGCAGACTCCTTGTCCCGATAAAACCCCTTTTATTAGGTTAAAGTGAATTCCTCTCCAGCAAAGTTTTCCATGAGATTTCACAACTACAGACCTTTATCAAGCCTGGAGAGTTCCCAGGCCGATATCTTCCAAACGCCACACTGTAGCAGAAATTACTTGGCAAGAAGCCAGGGACAGATCATCACACTAATGAATTGAACTAATTGTCTCCTGCAAACCCCACTCCCCTTTGGCTCGTATTTATTCCTATGGGAGAGGCCATTCACCATCCACCTGTGCCTTTACTCCTGAGTTGACCCTTGTTCCTTAACTGTTCCCTTCTCCTGGCAGCTCTGTGCATGCGCACTCTGGGAATGGGCTCCAGTTGTTCTACTGCCTCACTGATCTCTGACTCCGAAGGCAGCTGACCCGGCCCCGGCCCCATCTCTGCCTCTGATGCAGAGCCCTCGTCACAGCCTTCCCCAGACTCCAGGACTGGACCAGGTTCCTCCCTAACCTCCTCACTCTCCGAGTCTGCCGCCAGCTCTGCTGGCTGCTAGTGGGCCACAACACTAATAATTTTCCAGAGGCTAACTTTATAGAAGAACTGATTAAGGTAGAAGTTACTGATTAACATTTTGGAGAAGGAACCAGGCAACTTCCCCCCCCCCCCCTTGATGCAACCAACACAACTGAGGTTTGCAAAAAGATTTGGATCCAAAGAAGCGTTCTGCACACTGCAGTTGCAGTCAGAATGGATTCAAGATTCCACATCCCCGGTTTCTGATATTAGATCTCAATTGTCCAATGAAGTTGATTGACAACAGCATAGAACAAGCCGAAAGACAAGCTCCTCCTTGTACACTGTTGGTTGTCAATTTGGAGAATTGGCCTAAATGGTTGTGAAGAAGCCACTTATTCTGTTTTCCATCTGTTCTTTCACATTCTTGATGATTCTATGGAGTGTCCCGAAGGTGCTTTTGTTTTTTCAAGAGACAACTGGATTTTCTTGCTTTTCTTTGAAGACGTTTCGCTTCTCATCCAAGAAGCTTCTTCCGCTCTAAAGACAGCTGGTCCTTTGCATTTTTTTTAGAGAGCCGTTGGGGCCACTTGGAGATTTATCTCTGTCCTCAGGGTCACCTGAGTAGTCCAAATGGGTGTGGAGCCTTCTACAACCCAGTCCCTTCAGCAGTTCCAAGAAGGCTCTACACCCATTTGCACCTGTTGTGGTTAGCCGGCAGCAGGTGCGGTCGGCTGAGGAGAGAGAGGACTCAGATGAGGGGCCAGGACCATTAGGGAGCGGACTGCTGCCTTCAGAGATTGTGGGAGCTGTCAGCAGCGATGAGGAGGTTCCCGAGGAGCCTGTGCCAAGTGCGCGTGCGCGCAGGGCTGCTCGCAGGAAAGAGCAGCTACAACAGCATGGGCGACTCGGGAGTAAGGCTGCAAGGTAATGGCCCCTCCTTCGAGAAGATAAAAGCCAGCTGTGAAATGAACGTACTTTGCAGAAGGCAAAGACGTTTTGAAACTCTTGCCTCGTGGACATTCCAGTATCCTGAGTTTGTATTTGAAAATTCTTGTATCGCAAATTATTTCTTGTCTGTTATCTTTTGGCAAGTCTCGCACAGTTTGGCAAGGGTTGTGCTTATCACCGCTAATTATTTTGCAAAAGCATTACAAGGTTTCTGTTCCCTCTGGATTGTATTTGATTTGTTGAAAAAGGGCGTGGGTCAGAACAGCACCACTCAGGTGACCCTGAGGACAGAGACAAATCTCCAAGTGGCCTCAACAAATCTCCAAAAGAATGCAAATGACCAGCGGTCTGCAAGAAGTATGAATCCTTCCATTCCCCACCATCCAGTCAGAGCCGAAGAAGCTTCTTGGATGAGAAGTGAAACGTCTTCAAAGAAGAGAAAGTCTAGTTGCCTGTTGAAAAAAGGACATTTGGGACAACCACGTCCTGGATGACTGAGAGAAGCTCCCTAGACCGGAGAGGTTGACTGCAGTAACCAGAACATGTGCTCAGTTAGCAGTTGGGAGCTGAAGACCAAGAGATATGGCCAGCTCATTTGGACAATTACAGGTAGTCCTCGACTTACAACCAAAATTGAGCACAAAAGTTTTTGTTGCTCAGTGCGACAGTTGTGAGTTTTGCCCCATCTTACGACCTTTCTTGCCACCGTTATTAAGTGAATCGCCGCACTTGTTGATAACATGGCTATACGTGAATCTGGCTTTCCCCTTGAGTTTGAGGTCGCAAAAGGGGATCACAAGATCTCGGGAGACTGCCACCGTCATAAGTGCGAAAACCGGTCGCAAGTCCCTTTTTTCAGGGCTGTTGTCACTTTGAACGGTCACTAAACGAATGGTTGTAAGTTGAGGACTGCCTATATATAGTAGGCAAAGATTGAGGCCATAAGGTCCTGGCTTTGGCCTCTCACGTTTTCAAGGTAATAGATACTTCACTGTAGCTTGGCTCAGTAGACAGGTGTGCTAACGATCCCCTCTAGCCTGGGAACTCGGTGGTTCTCCCCTTTGAAAGCTTCGTCTCTGTTCTATTCGGACTTTCTTTTTTGAATGTTGAGTTCTGAATCTGCTGATGTGGACCTGGTGTTCTTAAAGTGCTTGATGCCTTTGGCTAGTCTAGTGAAGAGAAGGACCAGGGGAGACATGATAGGAGTCTTCCAATATCTGAGGGGCTGCCACAGAGAGGAAGGAGTCAGGCTATTTTCTAAAGCCCCCAAAGGCCAGACAAGGAATAATGGATGGAAACTGAACAAGGAGAGATTTAATCTGGAAATAAGGAGAAACATTCTGACAGTGAGAACAATCAACCAGTGGAACAGAAGTTGCCCTCGGAAGTTGTGGGAGCGCCATCACTTGAGACTTTCAAGAAGAGATTGGATTCCCATTTGTCAGAAATGGTGTAGGGTCTCCTGCTTGGGCAGGGGGTTGGACTAGATGACATCCAAGGTCCCTTCCAACTCTGTTAATTTCCCATTTGTCAGAAATGGTGTAGGGTCTCCCGCTTGAGTGGAGGGCTGGACTAAATGACCTACAAGGTCCCTTCCAACTCTGATTATCTGTTATCTGTCTTTTCCCTTCTGTTTCTTGCTTTGGAAACAGGAAAATCCTCCGGCCCTGATACAGCAGCTGTCGGTAGTGAAATTGCGTTACAAAACCTTGTGCGAGCAGCTGGAGAAGATTTCCGCGGAGCGGCGAGAGTCCATGCGTGCCATCCGGGCCACTCTGGCTAAAACAGTGAAGTTGGTCCAGGAAATACAGGAACACGCCGGGACAGAGGTAATGCTCTGGCTGCTTGATTGCTACTTGTAATGTGGGCTTCTCTCAAGATTTTACCTTCTCTTCTTTGGAGTAGTTGCGAGTCTCTTCCAGATTCCATTTGAATCTATTGGGGGAGCAACAGAAAAACTTTCTAGGGATCAGCGTGCCTCAGGCCAGCATCATTCATCATCAACCAGAGGTTTAGTGAGATAGAATCACATCTCGAGTAATGCCAGTAGAAGAGAAGCTCAAGGTTGAACTTTGGGGTCCTTGGTGTTCTCTGAGCTTGGTGGTTTTCTTGCAGACATTTCATTACCCATCTAGGTAA